TTATATTTAAGTGCGAATTATTATTTAGAAAATATCAAGCTAATATATTGTCAAATAAATTAACACCTTTTAAGTTTGTAGATATGTGTCTAGAAACGTATCCAACACCTTTTATTCCGTCGTGTCACAATATTATGTATAAATTATTGAAAACTTTTGTACTTGCACGTATTCATTTTAATTTTAAAACAATCTGTGACAGTAATGTACAAGCTCATTCTAGTCGTAGTGTTGCGATGAAGCAGTCTCTGAGTGATATAAAATTTTATAGAAAATAAAATGTATTGATTATTATCAAACTTTTAGTATATTTATAGTTTTCCCTTATTCCTAATATACCTTGGCTGCGTTCCGTTTGGGTGCTCACACGCTGTAAGCATCATTCTATCTTCGTTGCACATCGGATATCAAACGAAGATAGAGCGATGCTTACAGCGCGTGAGCGCCCAAACGGAACGCAGCCATTCATATACAAACATGAATTTGAAATAGCCGCGTCATGGAGCCAAAATGGCGGACGATTGCGGTACTTTATATATCTAGTGACTTTAACTACTACTAGATTACAGCGCCTCGCGGACAGTGCGTCGCGCTCCCGCAGCTCTTACACGGCTACCAATATCTCACAGTTTGGAATATACTTATAACTATGAACACTTACTTTTTATACAAACAGGAATCACGAAGATATTTCATTGATTCATAATGAGACCACTTTTTTACATGATCTTTACGAGCAGATCCACTTGTATGATGTTCGGATTGAACAATTTTTCTAAATATGTCATGCAGACTTTTAAATTTTGATTTCAGTAATTCTGCATTAAATTTTCCTAATAACAAAAGTTTTATTTACTAAAATCATTTTTTAACCCGTACGTTTTAAGAAGTCTTATTAATTTATTCTTATTATCTTTTTATTAATTTATTCTTGCCATTAAATATTTGCGCAATTTCTTCCCATAATTGTTTTTTAATTTTGATACTTCGTTCTATTAACGTAATTTATAGTTCCATAACGCAGGCCTGTTTTGCACCTCCAATATTAACATTTCTTCGTCATCAAAATTAAAATTTGATATTGATGTTCTTTTTTTAGATGTACTTGCTGAAATAATTATGTACGTATAGAAATGCTTGAATCAAAGCATTGCTTAACCAAAGCAAAAGTTAAAGAACTAAAGAACACACTTCAATAAAACAACTATATACATGATAATATAGATGAACAAAGTAAATAAAAAATATGAAACCAAAAGAATCCCAATCACACATACTATTCCAAAAATCTCAGCAGAGATAATGGTTTAACTTACTCTTTGTTAGCTAACAAAAATAAAATAGAATACTTAGAACCAGACTTTAAGAATTATATTTTGCCTTCTTTGAGTGGTTCCGTTACCACTTTCTCTTGATTATTAATTTTATTACGTCGAATAATATATTGTAACACCATCTACACATGTACATATTCTATTAAAATACAATAATTTTCTTAAAATATATTAAAAAGAAGAAAAGATTTACCTAATACTGGAAAAAAATATAAAGTATTTTCATCAATAAAGTAATTATTGTATCCTTCCATACAGGGATGATCTTTCAAATCTTCAATTTCACATATTTCTTCACATATCCCACAAGTGTGGACAATTCTAAATTCCTGAAAAAAATGAAAAGTTATAAAAAATAAAATTTTAAAACTTTTAACACTGCACAACATATTACAACCTAACCTAAAAATTATATTCTAAGAAACTATTCTGCAATGATTTTATTTCTGTAACTAAAATATCTTTGTTTATTATATACTAGTAATGAAAACAATGTTTTACTTACTTCCATATTCATCTTTTATTTTTTATACTATTGCTTAACGCTGCTTGACGCTAGAAGTTGGAAAAATCCAACTTCTTTCTCTTGACGCTAATGTCAGAGTGATATCACATGACGACATTCAACGCTGGCTTTCAGCATCATGAATATGCACCTTAAGAGACACGAGCGCATGCGTTTCTTGCCTTACCACGAAGCACGGAGCGTCATGGAGTATGGACAGCTAATAAGTTGTCGGCACTGTTGCTTTGTAGTCATTCCTTCGCCAGTATACAGTACCTATGATTGAGCGGTTAAGTACAGTCTTTGGTAAGTTTTAGCACCTTAATAAATAATCATTTCGTAAATCACCCATTTAGATGAACAAATTGGAGAAAACACGAGTATTGCAGTACAAATTTCGCAAAAGAATCCTTTACAAAATGTGCAACCCAGTGAGAAGTGATT